TTGTGCTATTATCCACTTAATGAAATGTTCATCGATCCCGGTTATATCTTTCACTATCTTCCTCTTGAATACTCAATCGAGGAGTATATACAATTCATCGAGGGTAGTTATTACTAAGGAGACTCGTTCATTAATAAAACTTACTACCGAGTCAATATAGAACACGCGCCGTAGATTTACCCGGTAGTAGCAATAAACTTAAGACGAAAATGATTGAGATTGATAACCTCAACACAAACGGTTTATTGGTTTAATCAATATAATTAAGGGGCTGTTTACTTTTTTTTGCATTAAGTCCTGAATGGATTAAGATGTCTGTCTGCATTAAGCTGTCTGTCTGGATTAAGTGACAGTGGTATAACAAACTGTTTACTAAGTGTGCTGAATGAGAAGTCTGAATCACGTTAAATGACCAAATAACCCTTCTGTCTGGAACAAGTGCTGAATGTATATTGTCTGTTTACTTTCTCTGTTCTGAAACATAATTTCAGATGCCTGAGAATAATAATGCTATGAATTATTAAAATAAAAAAGTGGCATTACGTGATAAGAAAAAGTCATTTGTCTTAATGAGAACAACACTTTAAATTTAAACGTTTCCTGCTAGTCTATTAGCGATTTCTGTAATACCCCAAAAACCAGTCTAGCTGAAATGACATAAAGTTAGCTTACTATAACGTACTTCAAGATTATATTAAAATGTTATTTCGATAGTAGCGGATATAATTTTTTTTATAAAACAATAAATTAGATTCAAACTAAATTTCAAATATAGGAAAAATAAACGATTAATAGGAAAGAAAATTGTAAAACTAGTTTTGGGTTCCAGGAGTACTTCATTATTGTTTTTAAATGCATGTCATGTTAAATAAATACTTATGATGAATTAAATCTTAAGATTTACGAAGTGGGCTTAGCAACTAAAATTGTATAAAGATAAAAGGTAAATTTCATTTTAATAAAAAAACAAAGAGAACACCTGGCAGCTCACATGCTTACATCTACGGCCAACAAGCAATGTTAAGATCAAATATATATGTAATATTATATAGATATATATGGACACATGGCACAAAGCTATCTCAGGAGGTGTACATTTGGCAAAACAACCTGCATGCTAAATGAGATAGTAACATTTGGTCATAAGAGGAAGACACGTAAATAGGTTTGAGATATAAGGACAAAAATGATAGCTTCTATAATAATAATGTATTACATACATACATACATGAGACATCCAAGCTAGAACCATGCACTGTCAAAAGAATGAAATAGTTAAAAAGGAGAGGGACAGATTGAGACGAAGAGAAGGGAAAGGACGAAGTTAGTCCGATTGCATCATAAATTTCAATTGTGGTATTTATACTAATTAAGGTCAGTATTATAATACGACATGATCATTATTTTTAATTCTTTTAAAGACAAGCTAAGATGTCACTACTATAATATGACATTTAATAAGTGTTATTATTTTGGTCATTAAAGGAAAAGATGTTTGCACTATAACATAAGCTTTTATATTATTTTCATTCTTATGTTAATTAATTAAATCCTGATATCTGTTTTCATGATTAAGCTAAGATAACATACTGCTATAATATGTCAATGCTTTATGTCCTTTACGATTCACTAAAGATAATACTCCGTAGTATTATAATGATTAATAATGAATATTGAGGTGTTAGTATTATTATAAGATGGCTTTTAGATTTCATCTCAATTAATCTCATTTATTTGGGTTAATTTAAGGTAATGTTAGTGCTTTAATATTATTTCTTTATTTAAAATTCTTCTTAAATAATTCAATGATAATTAAGTCAATTTGTTCATAATTAACCATTTTGCACGAGAATAGATATTTGTTCATAATTAACCATGCTTTAGTCTATCTTATCCGCTGTACTGTTTGTTACTGCTGTGTAATATGACTTTTATTAGCTAATTCCATTTCCAACTAATCAAAGATAAAAGTATTATTCAGCATCCGTATCTATGTGTATACTAATTTTTACAAGGTACTAATTTTGCTTTAAAAAAACGGTGCTATTTTTAGTTAGCTTAAAGGTAATGGTGTATGATTAATGTTTCTTTTACAAGGACACGAAATATGCATAGTTTTACTTGAATAGCTTATATTTAAAATATGATTTTGTTTTGAATTTATCAATGTCCTTTACAAATTAAAGTACGTGAGTCCGTTTATGTGCGTGAGTATTGAATGGTCTTATTTTGGAAAACAATGTACGTACATTTGGCACACTAATTTACCATGCATGCAGATTATATATTATGTATGTGTATGTTTAAAAGAAGATTAAATATAAGTCTTCGAGTATATATGAATAGAAGAAGATGTGTATGTGACCGTATGTTTAGTGATGATGCTTTGGGAGTATTATATTTTCCAATAATACATGAATTTATGAAATATTTTGGAAAAGAGCCTTACTCCGGGATTTAGATTCTAGTTATGGGTACCTCTGTTCTGTTCTGTTTTGGGTACGAGTTGGTTTTACCGACTACGACTCCTCTGGTGTGCTAGCATACGGCCCAAGGCCAGGGTCCTCTGAATCTGAAATCTCTGTTCTGTTATCTGATGATCCTTGTGATCTGAAGATCTCTGTTATCTGATGGGTAAAGTAACTAGAACTTTGTTCGAAATTACTTTATCTGTATCCTTAGCTAGAGTCTGGTCCTAAGAGTAAAGGCTGAAATTAAAGTACTAAAGAATGAAGTATTCAGAAAGCTGGACATGCAATGTCAACGATTTTGAATAAGATTTATGTGTGATTATTTTCTTATTGGATATACGCTTTCGGCTAAATGATTATTTCTATGTAAAATTATGTTACGGTATCCGTTTTGAAATTATGAATATGTTACGAAAAGATCTGAATTAGAAAGGTCAATTCCTCATGATTTATGTACCTATTTCTTAAGTGATAAATTCACAAGTATATTATGTGAAATAATAGTAGTAGTTAAATTTGACTTCTATGATGATAATGTGAAATATGTTTTACGTATGTGTTTTAATTATGTAAATTGGCTATAATAATATTGATACTTCTTTTTCAATTATTTAGGTAACAAATATAGATACATATTTGTTATCACATGTTATATTATAGTACCACTCAGCAATTCATTGCTGAGCGTGTAGTCTTTTCTACACGTAGGTGAGAAGAGATTCAAGTGGAGCCTCGGGACAAGGAGACATCTGGACAGGATTGCATTGCGTGTGTTTTGTTTTATTGTCATTTTCCCTTAAAGTTAGAATGACCGATATTATTTTAAAAGTTAATGTGATTTGATTAATTTGAGTTTTGCATAAGTTCAAGGTAATTGAACAATTATTTTGTGACAATCTATTACAGTTTTCTAATTTAAGTGAGCTTTTGATTAATAAGGCTTATTAAAATAAAGTCAAAACTGGACTTTTATTTTATATTTTAATTAATCTGTAATTTTATCGGGAATTTTTATTAAAAGATAATCGACAGTGACATTCGCCCCGAACCGGCCAGACCGGGCGGGGCGGGTGTTACAATTTCATTCCGCAAATTCGTCATATACTGTAAACTTTGGGTGCCCCATTGTGCTGCATGCACTTCTTCTCCAATATCCTCAGGTTCCTCTTGTGCTTCATTGTTGCTTATAGTGTCATCTTCCCATTCTTTAAAAAAGTCATCATCAATGTTGGACTTTCTAATAAAATTATGAACGACAAAACAAGCAATCACCACATTCCTTTGTATCGCAAATGGATAAGGAGCCATCTGATCTAAGATTGGAAACCTTGCTTTCAAGACACCATATGTACGTTCAATCACATTCCGGAGTTGTGCATGCGCATGATTGAATCTTTCTTCTTTAGTCAATGCACGACGACGTCGATAATCTGCTAACAAGTACCTTGTGTTACGATATGGAGCTAAAAATCCACGAGTGTTTGCATATGCAGCATCACATAGATAATATTTATCTGTAACAAATTCGAGTGTTAATTTTTTTAATTTAAATTAAAATCATTTAGTGACAGAATAAATAATGATACGCACCTTGTGGAGGAAGTGGAAAGCCAGAATTAGGATTAAATACAACTTGCGTTAGTACTCGAGAATCATGTGCTATTCCTTCCCAACCAGCCCAAACAAAAATGAATATCATATTGAAATCACAAATTCCTAAAACGTTTTGATAACACCGACCCCCTCCTCTTCCTCTATAAATAGTTTGCTTTTCGGCAGACACTCTTGCGTGTACAAGAGTTCCATCTAGTGCTCCAATCGCTCCCTTCATAACATAATGAAAATATTTGACACATAATTTTTAAACATAACTATGAATCGAATGTAAAATGAAAACATACCGGAAAAATCTCTCTCAAACGTCTTTGCCGGTTTGACAAATTTAGGACTGAATCAGGCGTTGTTGGTACTATCATTTCTTTTGCAAATTCCATCATTCCTTGTAGAACTTCATGAAAGCATTTGTGAACAGATCGTGTGGAGTGTTGGAATCTCCTTTTATTCACTCTAAACCTCTGATTATTTCCGATAGTTGTCAAAAATATCGCCATCTTTTCCTCAACACTTATATGCTTACTATCACTCAACCATTTTCTTTGTCTAAAATGGTTGCATAATAGTACATACCCAGCATGAGAAACACGCATTAATTCCACACATTGTGTATTAGAACCATCTAGTAACTCTTGTGTGTAAGCATGTCCGGTTAATGCAGAAGTGTTATCTCGTATTCTTTTCATTCTTAGAGTAGAACTTCTTCGCCTCACATAATAATACACAAGCATTAGGATTAGTAGTTGCGCCTCAAGATCCATATTAACCTTGCAAAGAAAGTACAAATTAGATATTTATAAATAAACATTCCATTCTTAGATGTCACAAAATCTAGCAAGTGTCACAAAAACATACAATAGCAATCCCATAAAAATACAAACAAGAGTCATAATTCATCCAAAAATAAACAAGAGTCATAAATACCAAATGTAGTCCAAAATACGTTTAAACAAACACACAAGAAATTAACAACCTACATAAACCCTAATTTCTTCCCAATCATTTTGACCCAATTTGGAAGGAGATTTGCATCAATTTTCATCCATGCTTCGCGATAAAGATCATTTGGATCACAAAAAATTGCGAGGGCAACTCCGTAGAGTGGGTCATCTTCTTCCCATCCAAGCATTTTTAGTTTATTCATGCAGTCATCAAAAGTTGGTGGTTCAGGTTTCGAAGGTGCTTCGGGCTTCCCATGCTTTGAAGCAACTAAGCGAATCACGTTCAAAAATTCTTCATCAATGGCTGAATTTGCTTGTTTGCCCTTACTTTTGAGTTTTTTAGATTGCTTATGGCTTGAACATTGACCTGTTGATGTAGACATAGCTTGTGCACCTTGAAATTCCACTTCTTCTTCAACCACAATTGGACCATCAGATGAAGTATGTCCATGTGGGATAGGTTCAACTGAAGTTGGTCCCCAACTGTCAACGCCCGTTGCAACAGACCCATCAAATAGTTGTGCACAAAGTTCAGGAAATGGAAGCGATGTAGTCCTCAAAGTTTCAACGTACTTATTTTTCTGTGTTACAAAAATGTAAATTATAGGAAAGAAATGAACAACGAAATAAATAGAGGTGTCCATTAGGAGAAAAATACCTTAATTTCAATCTCCCATTCCTCGGGCGTAAGATTAAATGTGTTGGTGGACGGATCATACACATTGCCTGTTTTATTTTTGAGTAGTAACCAGGCTTCATATTTTCCTTTAAGATAATCGTAATGATTTTTCATTTGCTTTCGGTCAACAGAAAAGTTATGAGTCCCCTTCAAAACGTCAGCAACTTTCTTCCATGAAAGTGCTTTCAGACTACTACCTTCCCGCCCGTTTACAGAAATCTCATGTATACAAGTCTCAAGAAATGTTTTCACCACATTGATATTTTTCCAACTTATCCTTGATTTTTTTTGCTTTTCTGATTCACCAGCGTGTTCCATACCTAAAGAATGAAATATGTATGTCCCAATAATATTCATGGAAGTTAAGGAACAGATCTACCAATTATACGATGCTTTCATGATGTAGTATGCTTTAATGTTTAAATAATTCCATTTGTTTGGTTTAGGAAGAGGTAGCAGAAAGATCACTTAAGTGGAATAGTTTTCTTAACAGCCAAGAAGTTTCTGTTCAGCCATGAGATCACAATAATGTAGGAAAATAATGCCCCCAACTTCCAGGAAATCTTCTCAATAGATGCAACAATATGTTAGAAAAACTTGAAGGAACTAAACTTCAAGAAAACAGAAAAGTGTGCACTAGTAATCCACATGTACGAACTAAACTTCATCTAAACTTCAAGCAACATAATACAATGAAAAACTAGCAACATAATACAGAAAAATTCAACTAAAGGTCAAGAAAATGTGCAGGAACAAAACTTAAAAAACAAACACAACTAAAATCATGAAAAAAAAACTGTTTATTTCAAGAAAATAGCAGCAACATAAAACAGAGAACTTCAACTAAACTTCAAGAAAATGTGCAGAACACTTTTTACAAAACCAACCTGCCTAGTGTTGAATAAATCAGTAAAAAAAAACTGTTACACAAATGAAAAAAAGATTAAATAAACAGATTACTATGAAAGAAAAAACCCAGATTGAATCCACACACGGTTTCAATTATAAACAGGGGGAAATCAATATAAATTTAAGTTTCACATAAGCTCAATTAATTGATTCCACACACAGTTTTAACCATTTAATTGAATCACCTAAAATAGGGGGAAATAAGGATTCAATCTTCAGATTTCATTTTGTGTTTCATTAAAAGTTGGGAGATTTGGTTATAGAAGACAATAGCTAAAGGCCACATGAAGTAGGAAAAGCAAATGATGAGAACCGATGGATATTAAAATTAGAAAATTAATCTGTAAATGAACATAGAGAATTACAAATAAATCTAAGGAAATAGCTAGATGAAGAACCTGAAATAGAGAAAAAGCTTCTTGTTTTAAAGATGTAGCGCTGCTTGTTAAGCTTCTGTAATTACTAAGATCGAAGTAAACAGGAATCATTCATTAAACAAAACAGCGGAATAAAAAAAGTACTAGAAAGGAACAAGGTCACCGGCGGTGGATACCTCGGAGAACGGCGCCGCAACCCCCAAACTGGTAGAGAGGAAGGTCAAGCAACTCAGGGAGGATATTTCCCTGAAGAAGATGAACCGCTGCTCTTTTTAATTTGATGAAGATGGAGTGCTCCTCGCTGATCTTACGCTGTTGGATGCCTCACGAGTAGAAAGAGCTAGGGTTAAAAAAGCCAATAACGCGTCTGTTAGCTAAGGAGTGTCATTATCCCGCTGAACTATTAAGTCATATTTCGTCTGAGCGAATAAGTCAAGTTTTTCATTAAGTCGTAAGTAAACACGACTTATTGACTGAGCGAATAAGTCACTCTTTCCATTCAGTTCATTAAGTCCTAAGTAAACAGGGCCTAATTCACCTTAGATTATTAACCATGAGACACATGCATTAAAATCCAAGTTAACTACCGTGAAACGATCAAAGGATTAACAAAAGTATTCGTCGATTGATTCTAGTAATAATTAATATATGAAACAAAACTAGTTGATCCTTTAAGTAATGCTCAAATTTTTAATATGAAATATGAATAGGAATTAATAAATATTCAAGGAAGAAGATTAAAGAAAATAAATGCTACTATAACTAATGTTGAGATATTAACTAGTTGTCATCTTAGCAACACTCTCCAACATTAATATAGAGATAGATTAAAGGAAGAATTAATATTCATGGAATAACACCCCGATTTTTTTTGAGCTAGTTATATTAATCATTATTGTTTATTTAGTCAGTTTAATAAATTTATTTTATGAGTAATGTAACTTATTGTTTGATCAAGTGTTGCTTTGGCAGGTAGCGTTGACCGGTAAGCTCATAATAATTTTAATCGAAGAAATAAATAAATGCCATTTTAATATTTATTTTTAGTATATTTTGAAAGCGGGGATTTAATATTCAGTTTGGGTAAAGAGCGTTTTTTTAGAAGACTAAGATGCCCAAATTAGTTATATTGGCCCGAATCAGTATTTTACCTAGAATGCCTTGGGAGATATATATCATCATAGAAACCCTTGAGCTCTAGCCAGTAGTCCGTTTTTTTTCTTCTCCTGGCCAGCAGTCCAATGAAGCCATCTAGCACTACCATCTGCTTTCATCTTAAAACTGGTAATTCTATATTGTTCACGCCTCTAATTTTGATTCATCCTAAAAAGATGTTGATTTGTGAAAGCTTCACTACGTACTAGTTGCCTGGGATGTCCTATAGGGAGGGATTTGAAATTTAACCCAAATAATCTCACTTTTCCTTCTCAAAATTCTTCTCCTCTGTCAACTGGTCGAACCAAGCTACTGACTGAGTTTTGGATTACCATCTTTGACCAGTGAAAGTTTGTTTTCGTAAATAATAAAACTGATCTCAGGTATTTATTCTCATAGGCTGTCTTGCCATTCTTTATTTTGCCTACTCCTGTAGTTGCCATTTGGTGTGAGGATAATGTAAGGCCTGTTTTGAAAACCATTGGTGTATAAGAAATCTATGCTCCACAAAGTTTGAATTGAATTTTCTACTATATTGGATTAGTTCTCACCGTTTACTTTCCACTTAATTTTGAAATTCAGAATTTTCAGTACTTGAGTTAAATATGCAAATTTCATTTCAGATTTTAAATGGTTCGCAAATCTGAGTTTTCATATTAATCACTCCTTAGGTACTTCTAGTGGATTTCAATTGGTGTTGTTCAAGTTTAAAGTTTTGGTTGTGCAAGGATCAGGAAATCAGATTTTAGGATCTATGTTTGTTTGATTTTTAGTTTGGGTTCCTTGCTGCTCAAGAGCCAGGAACATACGTGTTTAAAAATCAAAAGGTTTCTAAGTTTTGTGATTTAGTTTTCTTCAGCTCTACGTAGCAGCAAGAAAAAAGAAAAACAAAGGATTTTAAGTTCTAAAGCTTTTAACACAGACAATTAAAACTTCGGTAGTATGCCATTTTTCATACTTAGCCGATTCTTATTTCATAATTTCATTTAGTTAAAGATATAAGAGAAGAGCATACCGGGAGACGTTATCAAGTGTCACACTTATCTGAGTAATTTGAGTTCAGCTTCTATCATGTAAGTTCACTACCACCTGTACATGTTTGTTCAACCAAATAAAAGAAAGAAGTCTGGTTGATTTTTAATAGATGATTTTAGTCTATGAGCTATTATGTGAACCTGGTGAATTATTTGCTGTATTAAGTTGTGTTTATTATCTAGCATAGTCAAGATTTTGTCAGTTCTTTAGTTTTCAGATTTAATGATGTTTTTTTATCAAACGTCACCATAAAAAGAACTAATATTTAAAGTGAAAGATAAGGTGATATGTACTCGGGAACAAGTTCCCTCAGATTAGCAGTTTTCAGTTTCAGATAGTCCGATATGTTTAGTGGGTCGCTCCCCTGAGCTGTCGGATTGGCGCCTTTGAGTACTTATCACGGGCCCATAGAGTAAAAATTAGCCACAAAGAGTTTTACAGAAAGTTGTTTAATGAGATCTCTTTCAGAAAGTTTTACAGAAAATTGTTTTGAGATCTCTTTCAGAAAGTTTTACAAAGATGTTTTGAGAATGAAATTTTGAGATCTCTCCAGAAGTTTTGAGAAATTATTTTAGAAAATATTTTCCTTTTGAGATCCCCCTCAGAATGTATTAGAGAAGTTATGTGTTAGTTATTTGTTCAATGCATGCTTATAGCCTAAATTTATCTATTGATAAATTGGCATAGACTTCTAGATATTTTGTGGATCCATAGTGACCTACTAAGCGTAAAGCTTATCAGTTTTCTTTCTTCGCATGTACAGATACTAAGGGTAAGGTCAAGGCCTAGGAAGATGATGAGAGAGTGGAACGCGTGCCAAGATGAGTTAACGGGAGCGACCTTGGCGACTTTTAGCTAGATATTATTTTGTTTCAGTATTTTAGTGTTATAATAAAGAGATTATTATTATTTATTTTATTTGAGGATTTAATGTTTGAATAAATTCCTGGATCCAGGCGGTTATCACGTTTGCTGGTGATAACTACTCCCTCCGTCCCAGGGAGAAGTTCCCGGGTTGACTTTCACACATTTTTAGGAAATAAAATTACTGAGGGGTAAATTTTACTGTTTTGCACTGTTTCGACACTGTTTGGCACTGTTTCGACACTGTTTGGCACTGTTTAGCACTGTTTTAATGTAGGATAACTTTCCATTTAGGGAAATGGGAAGTTTCTTTTGGGACATCCAAATAAGGAAATTGGGAACTTCTCCCTGGGACGGAGGGAGTATATTTTATTGAGTTGTTTTTTTATCAAGAGTTATATTTTAATTATATTTGAGATTTTATCAGGGCTATTTTCTTAAATAGACGGCCGTTAATTGCAGTTATTTTTTTTAAAAGTAGTAAGTTAGTGTAACGATTCCTTTAACCCTGAGAGGGGCGTTACAGAAAATTAAAGAAAATAATTCACAACTTACAATTCATTAAGCTTCAAAGTAGCAAAACCAAGATGAAAGAGTTTAACTCCTCATTTGGAGACTAAACATGATAAAAATATAAATAAAGAACTTATCTAGACTAAGCTTAGAAGTATATAGGAATTGATGGTCTTTAATGTGGAGGAAAGGGGTCTATTTATAGGAAAGATGGGTCAGCAGGGTCGTGTGCCCGATCGGGTCCATATAGGGTACCCGATCGGGTACTCTCCAGAAAACGTCTTCAGAACAGTGCAAGGATGATTCAGTTGTAATCCATGTCATGTCTTTCTTTCCAACAAACTGAATATTATTGTTCAAAATTGTTTTAATAGGTTGAAGCTAGGCATATAAATCATAGGTGTACATTTCTTGGAATTGACATTGAATAAATGTTGAAGATGGAGTCTTGTTCAGAGTTTCAGAACTGATACCCGACCGGGTCAGATGAAGGACCCGACCGGGTCAGATGATCGATGAGCTTCTGTTTTGGAAACTCGACCTGGTTTTCTACCCAGGTTTGTATTCTGTGAAGGAGACCCGACCGGGTCAAATAAGAGACCCGACCGGGTCAATCGACGGGATTTTTAATTACAGGCTTAATTTTGAGCCTGCGGCTCTAATCTCAGTTTAGGTTTTCTTAAACCTATTTAAACGACTCTTATGTACTTGTAAACCTCTGAGTGACGCTGATAATAATACATACTCTCTCTCGTTCGCCGTGGACTAGCACAATCAAATCGATTGTGTGAACCACGTTAATTCTTGTGTTCTTGCTCTTAATTTATCGTTTATCTTTGCCTAATCGTAACAATAAATTATTTCCCTTAAAAAAAATTGTTTGCACGAGACAGAATAGATCATTCTCACACCCGACGTGACCCAACCCGATTCATTTCTATCCATTTTGCAGTGTCCCTCCTTAACAAAAGCACTGGCTCCGCCACTGGTTATATGCATCGCAGCGGCCGCAGTAGGCACTACCGCGATGACCGCTACCGCTATTTAAAACCATAGTGAACGATGCTTTTGACATAATGAGGTACTCGTTTGATCTCGTTTGATCATAGTGAACCTTGTTTGATTGCGTATAATCGTATGATCTATGGTTTATCATAGATCACTAAATGACTAAATCCCCTACTGGCCTAATTAGGCCTTCCATAGCATCGAAGTTACCACACAGCCCATCAGAACATATATTAATATACCCAAGAATTGAACCAGCAAAATCCTTAACCTTTTCTAAGAGTTTCTTCTTCTTAGAACTCATCTCAATGCACACCTAAAATAAATTATAAACCGATAAAACTCATACACAACAGGCGCAATCAACACAACACCTTTCCATGAATTAAATGAAGCAGAATGAGAAAAAATTAGCTGAAACAAACTTTTTATGGATGCAAACTGCCTCGAAGGTCGATCACTTTTCGTCGTACTAGAGCTCTGGAAGTCTAAAGCAGATGAGAACCAGATCGTTTCTAGAGATGGGTTGGGTTTACGTCGCAGCAATTCTTGAATGTTTGTGCACAAAGATCGATACTATAACAAATCAGCATCGCGGGGAGAATCCAAAAGCCCTTGGACTTTGGTTTTTAGTGAAGTTTAATAATTTTTCTGACTAAGCAGTCATAATTTAGAAGAGGCAGCTCAAGAAGTATTCATTATACTACACAAATTTGAGTGCTCCAGGTCAATGTGTACCGTTGTACGCCCAGACCAAAGTATGTTTATTTGCAAAATCATATAGAAACTGTAATTGGAAACAAAAGCCCCACATACAGCTTACCTATATCGATGAATTGCATTAGTACAAATATGATTTTACACCAACTAGCTCTAGATCATATGGTGCCGATGATAAGTTACCGCATAATCACATTGTTGAATGCTTACCCTCTAGATCTCCTTGTCTCATGCAAAGTTATTATTGCCTTTGCTGGCCATTACATGTTTTTGTATTGTCCGGAGATTGTTCCTTTCTGTTTGAAGTATGTTAACTTATGTACCTCTATATTTTCAATGCATAGATTTTTCTTCTTACTCACACGTGACCTGTTGATATTATATGTGAAGAAACCTTATAACCAATGCGGCTCAAAAACATCAAATAAGTAGCATCAATTAGCATGTACTGATCGATATATAATTAGAAAGACATATACACCAGGCCAGCCAAATTAGGTAGAATATTCATATAAGTGCACAACATATTAACATGCTACTACAAAGTCATTGATGCACCTTGAGATCCTCTTTTTAAGAATTTGTGCTCCTTGAATGGTAGACAATTTGTGCTTTGAGAGATGCACGAGGAAAGTTCAAAAGCTTCTTTTTGGCCTTGAAATGCAAAGAGTCATTGATACTTCGAGCTGCACGAATGACAATGTGGTGGAGTGCAGGCGACTTGGAGAGTAGTAATTTTACAAGGCACAGTTCCATTTCGGATGCTCTGAACCCATTGAGCTTCACGGTCTCAAGCATCCTCAAATCATCTTCAATAGTGTCTTCCAAAAGTCCTGAATCAGATGCTTTAGAACCTTTCGTAATATGAATCTCCAGCATCGATAGCTTGGGGGATTTTTTAAGCAATTGGACAGCAAAGTCAAGATGCTTCCCAAAACCAATATTGAAGCCTTCAAGTTTGATTTCTTCCAGATTTATTGCAGTTGGGAAGGCTGCTGAGGCCACCACAACAGCCGTATTCTTAGTATTCTTAGTAATAATAAAATGCAAAAAAAAAGTAAGCTCAGAGATCAAATTAAAAACAAAACAGAAGTAATTAGAAAATAAGTACTCTTTAAATGACTTTATTCATCTAAAAATTTATTCAACTAACTATTCATTTTTTTTAATTCCAATTTATTATTATATGTAACCCAAATTGGGTAAGAATGTTTGTGTGGTCATAATTTTTATGGAGTATTACTTTATTTAAACTTCATAAGTTTACTATCAATATTATAATTCCACTTTTGTGGGATAAAAACCAGCAATATTTTTATTTAAATGCATATTGACGTGTAAAATCTAAATAATAAGTACATCTCAAGTTACTGTTCTAACTCAAGTAAAACTAGCATGATAAAGAATGCAAATTTAGTTTTTCCCCATACCTTTTCTTAATTGTATTTATAATATACATTTGAAATATTGTTTTATCAAATTCTCATAGAGTTTCAATCATAAACTCTATCAATTTTGGGAGATTCAAGCTGATTCAACTAATAATTAGAATGGGATACAAAAAGGAACATGTTAATAATACACATGAATATCAATATATGAGGAAGAATTGAAGAAATTCTCACCCAACACAAATAGAGAGAGAGGGTCTTTATACAACTCAAGTGAAGCTGGAGCAATGTGATTGGAGTCCAACTTTGAAAATGACATATGTTTAAACTTTTAAGTTTGGGAGCGCTGGTGACAAAATTAGGAGTACCAGAACACATGGTTAATGCCAGCTTCTCAAGCTTGGGCATGGTAAAGACCAGTCCCTTATCATTACCCCTGAAAATAACCCATCTGAAATCTGACGAAGTCAGCCCGGGGAATATACGGGCAGCATTTTCCGGCAAGTAAAAAACGAAATTATCAAGATCCAGTTGCTTGATGGTCTTGCACCAGAGTAGACAGGATGGTACCTCATATTCTGTTCCGTCATGAGGAGCCGAGAGGTCAAGTTCCTCAACGCCGTTTCTCGAAAGAAAAAGACACCACCGGTCTAAATCAGACTGCTCCAGCGGCTGGTCAGATGAGGCGGAACCGTAAAACGTGAATTTCTTAACGGGTCCGACTCGGAGCTTGAGAATGTCGTTTATTATGCTCACAACAGACAAGCAGTCGTCGTTACGGTTTTCAATGGAGCTGTAGAACTCCCAGTCAAAGGAGAGCCGCCCTTGGCGGTACCAAGCATCCCTCCATTGAGTTGAGAGGAGAGCACATCTGGCGGCGTCTCGAGTGGGCAATCGCTCCAAAATCCCTTCCTTTATCTCTTCCGGCAGCTCACTAATCTCAGTTTTTCTTCGACGATAGACAGACATCAGATCGGAAAGAGGAAGAGACCCAAAGAGGAATACGTATCGACCGGAATATACGTAGTACAAATTACTTTAAGTAGTCGCCCAGCATGAGCAGGGCCGGTCCTCTTTGAAGCCCAATTAAATCAGGCCTAATTTAAAAAAAAAAAAACAAATTGTTAAATTTCCTTTCTATCTAAATTCAGCAATACCACTAAAATTTGGACATTAGAAAATGGTAAGATTACTAAAAAATAATAAGTTTATGTGGTTGCTATTGAATTGATGAAATAAAAATAAAGTATTCTGTGAGAAATATTTTTTACAACCCCACAAATTTTACTAAATTTGATATGAGACAATACATCAAAACATTTATAAAAAATTATAAACCGTCTTCTATCGTAACCAATAATATTATACTGTAGTAGTATTAGTGGTAAATATTTATGATGCAAACAAAGACGGTCTTATTTGCGCTCTTTTCAATGTTTTAGTCCTATTTAAGGAATTAGCTCCATAATTATTAACTTCTAAGTTTTCTCATCCAAAGATGTGATCATTTTGAATCGTTTTCATTTTCGTTAACTAAATCATTCTTCTTTGAGTTCTCATCTTCAGGAGGTCATTCAAAATTTGACTTCCTTACACAAACAAATTTTTCCATTCAATCTTTTTTTCTTTATCGTATTCATGTTCAATCAATATTTTACACCTTGAAATTAATTAAATTTATAATTTAATTATTTTTATAAAAACATGTTAGTCCTATTTTGGAATTTTCAAACATTTTTAATCCTATTTCGGGTAATATCCTCAAAAAATATCCCCCTGAAAAATTATTAGTTTATGGATAAAAATTCAGCATACTCAAACATATTATAAAGAATTAAACCTCGATCTAATCTTTTTTCCTTTTTCAGGCTGAGCACCCCCCACCCACCCCCACCTATGGCCGCCCCTGAGTATGCGCTTTGATTTTTTGCCTTATGGTGAGTTGGGTCTTCATAAGGCTAATTGCAACTCACATCTATCAATCACTCAAATTTCCCACTATGTTGTATGTATTCACTCCATCAAATCTGTTTTTGCTGCAATCCAGCCAATGTCGATATATTCATCTTCTAAAGTTTTTATTATTACACACCAATTTTTTATCCAATTTTTTAAGGGTAATTAAGATTTAAAAAAGCCAGAGATTCTGATGTAAAAATAAATAAATTTGGAACTTGTTTTGTTCTTATTTTACACTCATTTTGAAAAAATAAGTAAAACACGTAAAAAGAATATTTTAATCATGAGATTTTAATTTTAGCACATGAATATATCAAGAAAAAATTGAGTCTAAAACTTCCCAGCAGTTGAAATTTTATATTTTTTTTTAACTTTATATATGTGATATTAGTGTCATACAAAAGATAAAAAAAACAATTATGAATTTTAATATAATTTTTTTAAAAAAAATAAGGACAAATAAAAACGTTATAAAACTTTTAATAAAAAAAAATCATTTTTTGTTGGGGTCTGCACTCTCTCTCCACCTCACCACAACTTCCTCCATACTTTTCTTCTGGCGTTGTTGTTCCAACAAGGCAACAGGAGTGAATATGGGGTGCCAAATCCCTCCACTTTGGGTGCCATCCCACCCATTTCACACCTTCAATTTAGTTTTTGATGCTCATGGTTGCACGTAGCATAAGAGTACATGCATCTATAGATAATACTACGTAATACAAAGTGGCGGATCTAGCACTTGCGTTTTGGGTGTTCAAAATTACATTAATATTAAAATTGAAAACAATAATCTTGAATGATGCACCAATTCTACATTTGTATCTTTATCTATATAAAGTTAGTACATTTGACTAACGAGTAATCCATAATATGGTAATATATTAATAAAATAGAATAAATTACTACAACTATTCTATCATATTTTGCTATTGTCAAACCTGCTTAAATAAATAGACTTTCACAGATAAAGTGACTTTTCTTCAACATATCATTGCTATCAACACAAATGAATTAGTAACAAAGTAGCCTCACATCTAAAAGAGGTGAGGTAATATAGTCTTAATTCTTAAAGAATACTTAAATTCGGCATTCTATATGGGCTTGACACCGCACCACTAATACTCATTTCTACTCCAATTCTTCATTTCCTTCCTCAGCTCTCTCTTTTAATAAAAAATATGTAATCATAAAGAGCTGAAAATGCCTGACTTTAATTCAGTAATTAGTATGGAACCAAGGATCTACCAACCAAAATCCAGTAACCACATACTTACCTAAAAATAGATCTCCCAAGCACTTCCTCAATAATTCTCAATCAAAATAAAGGAAATTAGGCAAACAATGGGAATCGGAAAAGACACTTTTCCAAATTAGGCTTAATTAAAATAAATGTAGCCGTTAATTTATGAAAGATCAATCATGACTTTAAAGCATCATCAATGCTACAATGTACACGGTGCACATGTGGTATAAGAGATAGCCACATAAATATTAGCAAATAAATTATCTCTCTACTTATTTGAATGATTTTATAAAATTTTGGTAAGTTTTTCTCCACAATGTCAAGGAGACCGTCTAGATGTTGACATTGTTGTTGACATTGCAGAGAAAAACTTACCAAAATTGTATAAAATCACATAAATAGGGAGAGCGATAATTCATTTGATAATATTTATGTGGATGTCTCTCATGCCACATGTGTACCGTGCACATTGTAGCATTGGAGACCAACGGACATGCCAAGAGTTTCTAAACCAAGTGACCGCTTGATGGAGTTGAGGTGTATATGAAGCCAAACTTTTGTAAATGATGGAAACGGCACCGTTTTCCTACTAGCTAAAAATTAAAACTTTGGGGTGTTCACATGAACACCCTTGAACAAGGGTGAGTTCGCCCCTGATAATACATACATTTCAAAGATACAATTATTGAAAGTGATAAAGTATTAATTCTAGAGAGAAGGGAGAGCTAGAGAGATAAAGTGATATGTATAATGAATTCCAATCAACCATTCAACCATCCCCTTTACATGGCTCCCATAGGGAGTATTTATAGGAGAAAAGAGGGCTGGGCTTCCAGGCTTGGGCCTGGCTGGCCCAGTTACAATAAAAGACCAATAAATGGCTAATAAATAGTATCTAATCTATTTTAATGGGTACATATGAATAAATGTAGTGTACAAGGAAATAAATGTTATCTACTGAACATATGTGGGCCGCTGTCCGGGCCGCTGTCTGGGCCCAATAGTCGTGATGCCCAGGGTCCGAGTCTATATACTCTATCAGAAAGTTTTGTCATGTGTCATCTTCTAAATAAACCTTTAGTAATATATTCTAGATTATCTTTCCAATTTAAGATATTAATCATGCGTTACTTTAGGATTTGAGACTTTGAGTTATATTAGAAATCTCATTACGTTAATTTAGTACTAAAATTCTGGACTTCTTCGAAAGTGGGAATCACTTCATGAGACCCCAATCCAAAAAAACTCATTATTTTTAAATTGATATAATTTTTCATTTGTAATTTAATTTTTATAAAAAATATATCAAATTTTTTTATTTTTATTATCTTTCATTTGACACCAATATTGCATATGTAAAAATAAAAATAATTTTAAACATAGGAGATAGGAAACATGAAAGTTTTTAGGATAAAAACTTTTTTAAAATAGAAATTATCCTAAATAGGAATAAAAACATTTTAAAATACCAAAATACGTTTTTATTCGCTAAATAGGTGTAATTTCTGTCAAGTTTGGAAAAACTTGGCAGAAACTGCCATATTCAAATCTTGATAAAGTCAAACATGGCAGGAATCCATGAATTACTCTTATTTATCAAATTTTAACACATGCAGTCTTGCTATTTTAATTTTCCCCACTTTCAGTTTATGATGTTCCACTTTGTACCCTATTTTATGAATGATTAGGAAGTTATTAGGTAATTTTAAACTGTTTTATTGAAATAATTTTGAGTGCTTAGAATATTTTATTCTCATATATTCCACTTTAATGTATTTTTCGTTTAGTATGTGTACTTATTAGATTGAATTAAATAATTTTTAAAGGGTTATCTTTTTCGAATTGCTCTAACTTTTTATATTTATAATTTGAGTTTTACAAAAATGTATCAAAATTTATAATTTAGTATTATCTTTCATATGAAACCAAAATTGCACATATAAAAATGAGAATAAATCTAAATATATGGTTGATGGAGGCATTTTATTTATTGCTTCAAAGTGTCAATACAAAACGTTTGTGATCCACATAATTTTAAAACTTGGATCCATTTAAGACAAATTTTGAGCCTAAAAACCTTCGTCAACCGTATATTAATTTTTTTTTTGTATATGCAATGTCGATGCCATGCGAAAGATTATAATAATTTATGAATTTTGATGTATTTTTTGTAAATTCGGATTACAAATTAATTAAGTTATAGCAATTATAAGAAAGAGAATTTGGTAACGCCCTTAGTGTTTTCTCCGTTCTTCTGGTTTGCCAGCGTGCTTTGTGTTTTCTGATTATTAAGAGAGAAAGTCGTTAACTGAACATTTTGTCGATTCGATCGATTTGAGTTTTTTTTTAAATAAATGTTTTAAAACTTGATGTCATCTTATTGACACTTTAGCCAGTAAATAAAATGCCCCTGATTGCAGAATGTTCAAAACTATTTTTATTCTTATATATACAATATTGATGTCATATGAAAGATAATAAAGATAATGAATTTTATCGAAAAAGATGTTGATATCGCAACTCGGTCTGAAAGACTGGAACTGATTCATTGTTACGAAAAACTCATTCGGTATCTCACCATCTTGCCAAAGGACTGAACACTGATGTCAGCGTGCTTTACAAGGAGGATAAGGGCAACTATTTATAGCAGCCATAAATGCGATGAGAGTACACGTGTCAACAATCTAATGACCGAGGGGTCACCTCAATCGGGGTGGCACCGGCATTCGCATGTGCACCGCATTAAATGCGGTGGGTGGATGTGACGCCACATTAAATGCGGTGGTTGTCTGTCCCCAAAGGGAATCTTCGATGATCGCGTTGTAGTCAAAGGCTCCCTTGTGGCCGAAGG